TACTCAATATCGAAGGGGGGTAAAATGGCGATTGATTCAATGGTTGATATCTAATTGATGAATGGTTTGTTCTAGAAGAAGTTGGGTTTCTCGCTCAATGACACATTTTCAGGCAAAGACGACTCTTGTTTAAGTCTCTGTGTGTTTGGGAAAACCCTGCTGTGAGACTCACTCACTACTCATCCTCCGGTGATCGTTTTTAGAAGGTCAATAGTGTGTGTGTGTGTGTGTGTGTGTGTGACCAGACAGTGTGTGGGTTTGTTTGATAACAGGACTCTGCTGAAACTGACTGCAGTGTCTGAAGTATGAGACGTCTGCTGTCACACCCCCACAGTGTGTGTGTGTGTGTGTGTGTGTGTGTTAAAGTTTGACAAAGATTTATAATGTTACTGTCAAGTTATTTTTAAAGAGGGTATTTTGAGGTTTAAAGGTGGTTTTAGGCTGTGATTCAGTTTCATTCTGTGTGTGTGTGTGTGTGTGTGTGTGTGTGTGTGTGTGTGTGTGTGTGTGTGTAAAGTTAAATACATGTGTTATGTGTGTGTTTTAGATCAACAGACAACAAAGGGGCCATCACTTCCCTGCAAACAGTGATTGTTTGTATGTGTGGCTATAAACACACCTCTTTATGTGTGTTTAGTGTGTGTGTGTGTGTGTGTGTGTGTGTGTGTGTGTGTGTGTGTGTGTGTGTGTGTCTGAGTGTTTCCCACTTCCTCATGTGACTCACCTTGTGACATCATGCTGTGACATCACTGTCTATGTGAGGCAGGATTGGTTAAAAGGCGGCCGGAGGCTTACATTCTCAGTGCAGTCTAACTCTGAAGTGGATCTATCATTTTCTCTCCATATAGAGTGATTTTTTTTGTTGTTGTTTATCTGTGGATTGAAGCTGTAAACATGTCTGTCTGCCTCTGCTAAGGTAAGATCTACCAGCTGCTGTGTGAAGGTATATCATCAGTTTTAGGTATTTAATGTGAAAACTTTTTGTACAATCATTTTTGAGGCTGAAGTGAACCTTCACCTCTTTGTTACTCTTGAATCTCCTTAAAAGTTTATTTACCATTTGTATTGTATTGTAGGTCTTCTAAAATACAATTTCATTTTCTAATGGCTTCTAAAAAGAAAAATACTGATTTCACTGTACAACACTCTCTCTGCTTATAACTATCACTTGTAACTTCTGCATAAAGCCAAACTCTGCTCTCCCTGAAGATAAATCTGTTACTTAAGTGTTGACACTGCTCCAGTTGCAGTGGTTAGCACTGCCTCACAGCAAGGAGCTCAACGGTTCCAATCGAAAGGGCGTTTCTGTGTGGAGTTTGCGTGGGTTTCCTCTGGGTTCTCTCGCCATGTATGTTAGTTTAATTCTCCTGTCGCTGACAAAAGCGCTGGTTTAGAACTGGAGTTGGTCTCTGTGTTGCACAGTGGCTGCCAGTGTTGGGCAGTAACGCATTAATACAATTACAGTAATACGATTACTTTTCCCAGTTACAAGTTATGTAACTAATTACTAATAAAATGCTAGTGCTTTTCATCACCCTAGTAACTTTTATAGATTCCTCCTCTGCTAGTTTGAATCCTTACCCTGACATTCAAAGACACACATGCAAAAGTCAGAATTTTTGAGAAAAGGAAGCAATCACTCACTTAAATGGGTTAAATGCAGATAACTAATTTCACTACAGGGATCAACAAAGGAATAAATAAGAAATTAAAGGTTGAGGTTTTCTTTGCTCATTATTTACAGAAAATATTTTAAATGCCTTTCCATGGTGGACGAAATTGAGTTTTTTTTTCTTGTTTTCCTGCGAATTGTTTCAGATTTTCTCCTGTGGGGTGAAAAAGTATCGTGTGCATGCTGCTATCACACCCCTGAAAGCAGAGCAGCTGCTGATGATCAGAACTCAGCTCTGTGGGAGGTTTTACCATTGATCTTATAAACACACATTTCTGAAGTTCAGTAGTTTTAATAAGGTTTTCAAAGTCTAGTCCAGATCTGTGGACTTTTACAGAGTCCTTCCCATGGTTTGATTTCTCTTCACACTGAAAGCCACATGGGAACGCTCACTCCTCTCATTGGTTAGAAGGTAAACACAGGAAGAAGCTGCCCAAATATCGAAAAGGCAACATACTTTGTTTGCTAGTCCAGGTCAGTCTTTGATTCACTCCCTGGCGCGATCTCTGTCCAGTGTCTGTTCTCTACATCTATTGCATGTCTGTCCGTCCTGGGAGAGGAATGCCATTTTTCCTATTAAAATGAGGTTTTTGGGGGGAGTTTTTCCTTACATCAAGGATCCAAGGACAGAGGGTGTAAAGCCCGCACATTTTGTGACTTTAGGATATATAAATAAAATCTGACTTGATCAAGGCCAGATCGAGGTCTGGTATGGACATTTGATCTGGGACATTCAGGGAATATAAATGTTTGATTTGATTGAAGTCAGCAGACTGCGCTGTGTCACGAGGACAGAAGAGTTGGCACTGCTCACCTGTGCATCATGGGAAACTCTAATAAGTTTAGAGGAGTGCTGATGTGGAACACGATACCTGTACACATTGAAGAACCTTGACTTTGTACACATCCTACAAACTACTTTAAACATTTAGTTTAGTCAGCGTAGATTTAATGATCAATTCAATATAATGTAATTTCCTGTATGTATAATGTCCTGATTTACACTGTAAAACCGGATAACTTCATTTAACTCAAAAAACTGCTGAAACTTTGAAATTTTAAGTAAAACAAGTTTCATTTTGTAACTTAAAAAACATTTTTGATGAAGTAACTTTGGTAATTTTAAGTGACACTGACTTCATTTTGCACATTTTATTTGTACTGTGAAAAAAAAACAAAAAAATCTATTTTAGCCGTCCAGACGACTCCGGGCAATCCGGTGTTTTCGGATTTTCCCACTCTGGAACCCGTTTCCAAAAAATACCGTTTTCACACGCTGAAAACGCCGTATCCGTCTGGACGCAAGGCCGATACGATAAAGTATTTATCCGGATTCTAAAAGAACGTATTTGTGTGTTCAATGTTTTTTATTGCATTACAGTGTAGGCATGGACACAGATCATTACAACGCCAAGCAGTGAGTGCTGAGTGCTGTTTCCTCTACTGAGTTCAGTATTTCTATAAGGATTCTGTAGCTGCTGAAAACACCTGCAGGGAACTGATACTGTCAGGACTGTTCAAATATTCTTGACAAATCAAATTCTTTATTGGGATTAATGGATCACTGATGAATCATCTAGTGTGTGGTTTATTCTGCGTAGCTCTGACCCAAATAGACTCTCCTCGTGAGGCTCTGTGTCCACTGGAGCAGGTTAGCTCACAGTGTGTGATTGGGTGTATTTTTGCGTAAGGGTATTGTGGCCCAACCAGTCATTAAAATGTCTCCCTGTTCCTCTCAGCTGTGTGTTCGTACTCCAAAGTGTGTGTGTGTGTGTGTGTGTGTGTGTGTGTGTGTGTGTGTGTGTGCCGTCTTTTGACCAGGCAGAAAGTTGCTCTTTTCCTTCTCACAGCATTTAGGTCTGAGTCAGTAGACACACACACACACGCACACACACCACACACACCATGGTTTAGTCAGCATAGTGTTTGTAGATCAAATAGACTCACTGAGCAAATGGAAACTCTTTGTTCTTTCTGTCTTTCTTGTTTTTGCAGCTCAGATTTTAAGTTTCTGATACAAAACAAAATATAATGTGTTGTTCGTATTTATCTACTGCAGACTAAATTAACAATAAAAGTCAACAGTAACATTGTTCTTTATAATTTATAGATGAGTATAAACATTAGGGTGGAGTTATATGTTAAAATTTCCAACCTCCCCGTCAGCCCAACCTAACCTTTAAACATTTACTTAAGACTTGGCTTAAGGCAAACCGAACTTTCAATCATGAGTAATCTGACCACGTTATTTCTGGCACTGCCTTTACAAAATCTTATAGATTTTATATATCACTTCTGTAATGTATTTATGTATTACATTGTATTGTATTTTTTTATAGTACTTGCTGCAGCACTGTACTGATGATATTAGGAACTCATTTGTTATAATCTTCCCAGGGACATACGGTAAAATTAGCTTATTAGGTAGCACTGGCTCATTTACGTTGAAGTGTAAAATGTGTAAATTATCCCTGGTGAGTAAATAAATAAATAAATAAATAAAACAACCAGCAATTGCCGATATATAGTTGTGGAACTATCAGGAAAGGAAATATTTACTAAACAGAAAAATACAACTGTACACCTTCTGAATTCAAGTTTCTCTTTGAGGAGAAGGAACCAAAACCATCTTGGTTTGTCTTTCCACTATTCCAACAATGACAAACTCTGGTGTGTAACCCTCTGACTGAGTTCGATGTTCAAATATTCTGGCTCTGCACACTGTTGCTGACCTCCCTGTCCTCACCGTGTCCTGGTCTGAACCGCTGTAAATCATCTTGGCACTGTATTCCCTGTCGTCAAACTGGTCGAAATAAACCCTTAGTTTACAGTTAGATGTGAAAATACTCTGGCTCTACAGCTGTTTTTTCCCCTCACTCGTTCTCTGGCTCAGTGTGTGTAGTAACCCTAACCCTGCTGAACATCTGGTGCCGAGACCATTAAATTAGCAGATAAAATGACAAAAAAAACAACACAACCAAAAAAAAAGAAGCATTGACGGACAGCCAATGACTGCCAATATGTTCATCCAGTTGCCCAACCTTAATAAATATTATTAAATAAAACACTGCAAGCTTATTTGTACCTTTCAACACCAAGGTAATTTAAAGTGCTTTACATAAGACATAAAAGGCATTAAAACTAGATATAATAGATAATATAAAGAGACATTATTAATACCATTTAAAAAGAGTCAAATATAAAAGAAGATAAAAATAAGAATAGCCAGATTACACAGAACTGTGTGAGTTCTGAATGCTCGCCTGTGATTGGTTGTTTTTCCTGCCACTCACCCTGCCTCCTCTGTGATTGGTTTGTCTTTGTGCAGGAGCGGCCGGCTGCAGCCTAGCTGAAGATGTCTGATAATGGGGAGGTCGAGGACAAGCCCCCAGCTCCACCCATGAGGAACATCAGCACCATGATTGGCTCCAGCAACAAAGACCCCGTCCCCCTCAACCACGGCTCCAAGCCCCTCCCACCAAACCCGGAGGACAAGAAGAAGAAAGACCGCTCGATCCGATTCATCCTGACCGGAGGAGGCGATAAAAGTGAGTACTGAGATAAAAATGAAGCCCAGTTTGAAGCCTGGTTACTGAAAACACCCACCTGTCACTCATTTATCCATAACTTGAATGGATTGTATGTGAATTATATAAAGAACCCTCTGATTGTGAATTTAGTAATAGAGACCAAGTTGGGCATTTTAATATGGGACCTTATGGAGATTGACTTCTGGAGCCAGTCTCAGGAGGCCGTTAGAGGAACTGCAGTTTTTTTTGAGCCAGTCCCTATAAAATCCAGGGTACTATTCATCATATTATCTGCATTTTGGTTTAATTCCAGGACTTTCTGCGATGCTCCTAATATCAAGACTCGCTTAATTTTTCTTAAATTGTTAATTGCTTCCATAATTGCCTCCGTGAGCTGTGTGTCACAGCCGCTGCTGCAGCTCCAGTGTTGATAAGGACAGTAACTGACTTCCTGTTGTTTCCAGAATACCTGCATGCATCTTTCCCTTTTACTACACAGTATCTTTGTCTCGCCCAAGAGTTCTCAGTTTGAAGACCTCTGCTCAAATGATACTGTATCTTTTATCTTTGTGGTGCATGTTGGCAGCAACTTGTAGGCTTCTGAGCGAGAAATATTTTTCTGAGTTGCACAGAAGCTTAAACACATGTTCAAATTTGAATCAGTTGTTGTCCAAAAGTCAAACAAAAGAGAAAAGACTGAGGTTTTAGCAGCAGAAATATGATCCTTAGTCAAATAAACCACTTTAGACATTCAAATGCATCATTTCTTATCATCACTTTACAAAATGGCTCCAATTAGAGCCTTTAATTTGTTTTACACAGTGCTCGAATTCATCATTTCTCCAGGCTTTTATCAAAATCAAATAAGCTGTTGACAAATATTCCAAGATATCATGTTTATGTTATCAGACACAGCTCGATCAATAGTCCGCAAACACATTCAAACCCCCCCAAGTCTGTGTATTAGAGCGCTGTAGTTCAGTTTACATGAGTCTGGCCTTATTGTGTCAACGCTGCTATCAGACGCTCTGCAGGACAGTTCAACTCGCTGTACTTTCTCTGAGCTGCTTTGAAGGTGTAACGAGATGCAGAAATGATTTGTGCTGGTAAGAAAGAGTTAGCATGGATGTGTTTGTCGTTAGCATGTCGAAGTACAGCTGAGCCTAAGGCCAACTGAGGCTGAGTACAGAGGAGCCTGATTAAAGCTGAGGAGAGTCAGTGTAGAGCTGAGTTTGAGCCTGGGATGTCCTAAACTGGCCACCGTACAGAGGCTACCTGTGCCATTATAAAGTCCAAGTTAAGCAGCACGGTAATGAGGAAGAGCGTTCTGCTCAACGGAACCTTTCCTGGATGAAATGAGGTAAAACATAATATTCTAATTATAGGTTAAAGTGTAAAAGTTGCACCCAGCCTCACAGCTTCCCGGTGTATGCAGTGTGTTAGTGATGTTTTATAACGGCCTTATTGGTGGCTGACAAACTCTCCATTATGTCTAATAATAATAATAATAATAATAATAATAATAATAATAATAAAGTAGCAGAATGTGGTTTCTCACAAAGAGGTTTAATTTAGCAAGTGATTGTCAGGGGACGGTTTTATTTCTCTGAAGCATCTGAACATTTATAGAAGAATAAAACCGAATAGATAATGACATTTTTTTTTCAAATTAGTTGAGTTAGTCCACAATCTTTTCACGTACCCTCTGGCAACTGCAGAGGAACTCCGGTACGCATAAAGTCACTGAGACTTCAAGACAATATAACAAACATGTATCACTGAATTAATTGGGGAAACATGAAATGTACAATTATGTATGCTTAACAAGCAGACGGCTACAGGAAACAAAGTGTGCTAGAATTCAGATTCAATGATCAGTTATTATCTATTGTTTACTGATCCAGTGGGAAAGGCCGGAACATTCAGTGAAGCGTGCAGTGTTTGCAGCAGTAGACATTATATAAAAGAATATCATCATGTTTACAGTGTTATACATTGAGACAGATGAGTGTGGCCTTGTTGTGTCAGCACTGAGAGCAGATGCATTCACTCATAACCTCCTCGTAACCAGCTAATTATTTCCGTTGCATCATCCATACAGTGTGTCCGTATAGCCGCTGGTGTACTGCACCTACACTGAAACTGGAACCTGCTCTTTATACTGGATCGGCATCGAATCTGATACTGATTTTAGTAATAAGATAGATGAGATTAATCCACATTAAACACTGAAGCTGTGCAGCCCATCGCCTGTGGCTTTTCATCTAACCGCTCACTGCGGCTGCTCCTTCCATCACTCCCTGATAAATTTCAAAATTATGTTAAAAAAGTCTTATTGTAAAAAAAGTCTAGTTTTGGTGGCTCACCTGGTACTGATGGTACAGGCTGATGTCCGTGAGATTAAATTACTAACTGTAATGCTGGATTATAGAAATCCTTGGGAGAGACGGACTCAGCCACTAACAATGAAAGCTACTTTATAAAACTCACTCACCAAAATAAAAGTGTTGGAGTGTTAATTCAACAATGCACTCTCAGAGACAGAGGAACCAGTGCTCCAACAGTTTAACATGTCTCACATCACATGGCTGGCCTACTTTAGACAATACATAAATGCATGTACTCACACACTGTTAATCTTTGTGCTAAACTAAGATAACTGGCGGCTGACTGTAACCTTATGGACAGATATGAGAGTGGCAGCAATCAGAAAGCAAATAAACATATTTTGAATATTATTTGTGTAATTTACTAGTGTACTGTGTTTTAAACTTCATGGGGGTTAATTATTGCTATATTTGTTCTATATGATGCATGCTGTCTGATCTGTATGAAAACATTTACTCAGGAACTTCAGTATGTTTGTGGAGGAACAAACACAAACCTGTTTTTGTTGACAAATTATCTCACCGTATGAGAGGGACAGATTACCCATGATGCTTTGCAGGAGGCTGGTGGTCCTGCATCATTGTTAGTCATCCCAGGGGGATCTGTGCTGTTCTCAGTGGAGAATCACCTCCAACATATGGCGTCTCGTTTCTTTTTCCTCACTTTTTCTGTATTTGTCTCTCCATATTTCTTCTCTTTCTCTAAGCTTGAGCTTGCTCTGTTTGCTTCTGTATTTCCTTCTCTTTCCCTTATTGCAGTTTCTCTCTGGATTTAAGACCTTTCCAGGAATTTTAATGAACCTGGATCTATTTGTATCTCCTCTTCAAGGGATTTAAAAAAAAAGACTTTGCATTAATTATTGCATTGGTACAGATGGCATATCTGCCTTTGAGAGCCAAATTAGGACTCTTTAGGTCTTTTTTATGCCCTTTTTCAATCATAAACAAGGATATCCAATACAGAAAATGTACTTTTTATGAGTGTCAATATCTGTACTTGTAATCATTTCTAATAAATATCAATTTTGGGTTTAAATTAACAATGCAGATGGTGTAGTTGCTCATCCCTATCATAAACCTTTATTCTAAAGGGAAATTAATTATTGGTTAATCGTCCGTCTTTAAGGATTCAGCAGCTTCAAGATCCATTCTGTAAAACTTCTTTTGCTCAAACAGCTTTTTCTGTGAGTGGAGCAAAGTCCTGGAACTTGTTACCTAAATACTTTTAAGATAGTTACCAAGTCTTGGTCAGTTCAAGGAATTAAGGAAAATAATTCATCGTTGTGCAGCCTTGTGTTGTATAACGAAGCATACATTAAATTAAATGTTTGTTGTTCCTTCATGCTGCACACATAGAAAAAGATGATAAAATTCATAGAATAATATTAAAGATGAATAGAATAAAATATTACAATATATAGAGTTATTTATATACATACATGGATACACCCAGGAAATAAAGACAGTGATGATAATATGGTTTCATCTTCATCACATAAAGAGAAACAGAGTCCATCCAGTTTGACTGTGTTTGAACCCCAAGCATCGTCAATATAAACAATGAGTCCGCCTCCTCTCATCCTGCGGTCTGTCGGCTCCGAACACGGCCCGCCTGTCCAGTGTTGAGGTCTCTATAAAGATGTGGGCACAACAGTCTCTGATTTCCCGTTGCTTGGCCAGCCTGAGTGCCATTTCATCCAAAACCGGACTTTAGCCAGGAGAAGCCTTAAGCTGGGCCAGCATGGCTCCTATCCGGCTCTCAGCACCCGCTGTCTGGTTCCGTCCGGTCGATCTGGCTGGGTGGATCATCCTCAAAGTCCACCGCTCTTTAATCCTAACCCCACGCTTCTTTTTCCGATTAATGCAGGCCATTTCTGTCTTAGGTAAAACGTGTGTCAGCAATAAAGCCAAAAACATACAAGAATCTCTGAACCAGTCAATTTCAAAAATCAAAAATACAGATTAAAACAAAAATGTACCAAGTTTTGAAGGAGTGCAGCCGTTGCAACAGCTCATGTATAGTTTTTATATGTAATGTCTTTAAAGGTCCAGTGTGTAACATTTAGGAGGATCTGTTGGTAGAAATATAATATTTATAGGTTTGTTTTGTGTATAATCACCTGAATATAAGAATCGTTGTGTTCTCGTTACCTTAGAATGAGCTTTATATATATCTACAGATGCCGTGGGTCACCTTCCATGGAGTCCGCCATGTTGAACCACCATATCTCACCAGTTTCAGATAGCTGTGTCAGTCTGTCTATGTTTACTGTGTCTGTCCCTGTCAAATTAACCATTAATAATTAAAGATATAAGGATAAAGAAGAATATCTAGAAGTATATACATTTGGCTTATAAACAGCCCATCATGTTTCTGACTGTTTGTGTTTCAGACAATCAGAAACGATTTAAAATGTTTTTTTCTTTCAGCCTACAAGAAGAAGGAGCGTCCAGAGATTTCTCTGCCGTCTGATTTTGAACACACCATCCATGTCGGCTTTGACGCTGTTACCGGGGAGTTTACTGTAAGTGTGTGTTTGTGTGGTGTCGTGTGTTTGTCCCCCTGTGTGTACTAACACTCCTAAATGTGCCGAACACAGCCGCATTATGCTTCTGTGGTGTGCGTTTGTGCATCTGGTGTGTTTACATCACTTTTTAATTGCTTACCAAAGGACCCATGTTCATTGTTGCGTGCAAGTGTGTACATAAATGTGTGTGTATGTGTTTGATATACACACACGCACACTTGGCAAATGAGCCTTTTTAAATAATCACATTAGACAAAGACGCCTTGTTTAGCTGACTCACTTGATCCGCCTGACCAAGCTTTTTTAGCTGGGGGTTAAACCGTGTGTGTGTGTGTATATATGTGTGTGTGTGTGTATGTGTGTATATGTGCTACTCCTTTTTCTTTTATCTGGGACATAGTTCCTGCGCACACACATCTATATGCACATAAACATTAGTCATTTTTACTCAAATCAACAAAAGCTAAATATAATTCAGTGAGTAGGCGACAGTAGAGCAGTGTACAGAGACATTGGACGCATGGACAATGTGATGGTTTAACGTTAAGAAAGATAAGACCTGAATAAAATGTAGGGATGGAGTGATGGAGCAGGAAGTGGAGGAGTGTATGTGTGTGTGTGTGTGTGTGTGTGTGTGTGTGTGTGTGTGTGTGTGTGTGTGTGTGTGTGTGTGTGTGTGTGATGGACTGACCCAGACAGACGAGTGGAAAGAGAAAACAAGGAGATGTGACCCAGTTATGTGACTGAAAAAAAGTAAAACTATTTGTGTGTGCGTGTGTGTGTGTGTGTGTGTGTGTAGGGCATGCCGGAGCAGTGGGCCCGGCTCCTACAGACGTCCAACATCACCAAGCTGGAGCAGAAGAAGAATCCTCAGGCCGTCCTCGATGTTTTAAAGTTCTACGACTCAAAAGAAACAACTAACAGCCAGAAATACATGAGCTTCACAGGTACACACACGCACAATAGTTTATTTATTTATTTCTCAGGGACAGTGCATATTAATAAACGTTGCTATAAATATATCAGAATTTTCCAAAAGGCTCCATCTGCAGTCTCTGGGCAGGTGTAAACATTGGCAGCCTGAAATAAAACAGTGTAAAACCAAGAAACAAGGTTACAACAATAATCATGATGTAAGGCACATTCATTACAGTAAACACAAACAAAAATAAAAGCAGTGTGAATTATGATTCAATAGAGCAACAGCAGACAACATCACAACAATCATCAGCAACAACAAACAAAGCAAAAACACAAAACAGCAAAGAAAGCTACAGAACAGCTTCACAGCATCAGACATAAGCAAAGACGGTTAAGAGCAACACACACACACACACACACACACACACACACACACACACACACACACATTATCTCGCTCTTCCTCGTTTTTCCTCATTGTGTTTTTTTCCTGCAGATAAAAACACAGACGCCTACAGCTCCTCCACCACAACGGTAAGACTGCTGCTGTCAACACACACTCCAACTGTAATAATAGTTTCTGTACATTTACTGCCCGAGACTGGAACAGTCGACCTTAAATCAAGAGAATGAATAACACCGAAAACAATTTCAGACGTTTGTAAGGAGAAAGTACCAGAAAGTCGCTGTGATATTTATGTTGATAATCAGTGTCTCCCTTCACTCACTCCTTACATCGTTCATCAAAAGTGACGTTTCCCACTGACGTCATATTCAGTGGAGGCTGTGGTAGCATAACTTCTTCACATTAATCTAATACATTTAAAGGTGGAGGTAAGCGATTCTGGAAATCCAATACCAGTGCGAAAGACGACACAGCATGTCATATAACATCAGCTCTGTTGTGGGTTTGCAAACTGTTGCTAAAGTTGTCAGAAGAAGAGACGGCCTCCCAGAGCCAGCACACCACAGCTGTGCTGCTACTATAGCCAACACCACAACAACAGCATATCTCTGCAAACTGGAACGTAAGCTGAATGTCCGTGTGCAAGTCATTTAATAGTGATGCACCGATACCAATGTTTACAATAACAATTTGACTGATACAGATGTTTTTTTGTTGTTATTTATTCACCCTTTTGTGCCAGGGAAACAAAGAAAGCTACAAAGATAAGCACCTCTGCAGCTCAGTGTATCTCTCTTCTGAACAGCCGCTCGCTGTCCGTGCTGTTGCATGATGGGTATTTGTGTGCAGCTTGTGCCAGTGCTGGAAAACAGAGGGGATTATTTCTCCAATATCCAAGTTGGAAATAACCACCACAACAATTAGCCAGAGCAAAAGAAAAGAAGATCATACAATTAAAGTGTTAATAAAACTAATGGGGGGGGGGGTGTCATTACCATCATGTTAATCAAGAAGACAAGGCTGATGAGGGTTTTTCTCAGCTTTTCTTTTGATTTCTTTAGAAAGAGACCTAAAGGAAAGTTTGAGGGTAAATGTGAGATTAGACGATCTTGAAGGGAAACGGAGCCTGAATGAAATGATTAACAGAGGAAGGAGGGAGAGCTGCAGTCTGACACGATGAGGAGATTGAAAGAAGGAGTGGTTTAATCTACCGTTTGACAGACAGAAGAGAGAGGAGGTGTAGTGACTGAGGAGAGAGAGCACCTGACGGGGTGAGACGAGAGAGAGTGATAGAAATGGAGAGGTGAGAGGAGAACAGGAAGACAAGTGCAGGTTGAAGAAATGGCGAAGGTGAAGCAGGTTTCCTTCCTGTGGTGATTTAAGGTCGACGCTGCAGGAGTTTGTGTTTGTGTCTGACCTTCTCTGACTTTGATTACAGCACGGCTCTGAAACTTTACTTATTTAATATGATTATTATTTATTAAATATCCCCTCCAGACATGTACATATAAATAGTCTGCTTACCTAATCCCTGTTTTTATACTCCAGAAAATATACATTTTACTAATAATACAGTATTTTACAGTTCACGGGTATTCTACCTGATATGTGAAAGTGCACTTTTTGATTTGCCAGTGTGTCTCCCCACACACACACACACACACACACACACACACACACACACACACACACAGCTCACAAACTTAGTAATTAAGTTCATAATTATAATAATAATAATAATACATACTAAGTAAATAAGGTTTTTCTGCTGAAGTGCAAATGTTGTCTGAAAGGTATCTTTAAAGAATGAAGGTGAGAATAAAGAGAAAAAGGGAGGAGGCAGTGAGGATGATGCCACCTCCCTGTCCCTGTCTCTTCCTCCCCTCTCTCTCTCCCCCAGATCTCTCTCTCTCTCTCCCTCTCTTTCTCTCTCTGTCTCTCTCCCCCCTCTCTTTCTCTCTCTCTCTCTCTCTCTCTCTCTCTACCTCTCTCTGCCCCCCCCACCCCTCTCTGCATTGTGAATCAGCATCTTTTCCTCCTTTCACCATTTTCCTGTGTCTGCAGCTTGGCCACCAGCCGAGCAACAGACTAAAGCGATAGAGGACAGAAGAAGAGAGGGATGGAGAGGAGGATGTGTGACTAGAAGCCAGACATGAGCAGAGCTCTCAGACATCCACAGTGATGACGAGAGGAAGGCGAGAGACGGGACAGAAAAAGGGTGGAAAGACAGGGAAGCAGGAAGGAAAGAAGGTTAAATTCTGAGAAAAATCAAGCAGAGAAGAAGAGCAGGAGGACTTCTCTGCATGATGAGATGATGAAGCAGTAACAGTAGGAAGCAATGATGGGTCTGGTATCGCTGCTGGCTCACGTGACGATGATGTCACTGAGGCCCCGCCCTCTCTCTCCATGTGACATCTCGCAGAGCTCCAAGGCCGTGTCGGAGACGCCAGCCATAGCAACCGTATCCGAGGACGAGGATGAAGACGAGGCTGAGCCCCCGCCGGTGATCGCCCCCCGACCAGAACACACCAAATCAGTAAGGATGCACACACTCTTTCTATACTATATGCACTGATACAATGCATTCAAGCTCACACACACACACACACACACACACACACACACACACGCACCCCCACACACACACACAACACACACACACACACACACACACACTACAACTACTGCTGCTTAGTATGAGGCTGATCCATCATGGTAAACACACTCTTTTAGTTGTATACAACATTCACTGCCACTGTGTTGCTCTCTCTAGCATCTTAGACCAAAACAATGGCTGCCACGGCCCACCAGACTCCATTGAGAAAACCAGTAATTTTATCTAGCAGATAATCAAAAAACACAATTCAAACTGTTCTAACAATCACCAACACCAATTTAGTTGAAATAAACCCTTATTTCGCTGAGTTAGACAGGCTTAGATGGTTATGCTAATTGTCTGACAACACAAGTTGAAACACTTTTGGGATTTCCTCCTTAAGAAGTTGAAGTAAAGTAAAAAAGTGAAGGGAAATGTGAGAGCAAAGGCGCACAGGAGGGACAATCAATAATGCTAATACTTGCTAAATGAAAGTTAGAAATAAAATAGAAAAAGAAACGAGGCAAAGCGAAAGACAGGTCTAAAGGTCCTCAGACTGGAGTTATTTCTCAAGGGGAGGATGATGATGATTGATTTGATGTTATTTTCGTGTCATGCACACAACATGCTCACCGCTCGTAGGTTTATAAAACACCTAAAATACAAAATTACAGATTATAGATTATTATACGGCTCGATCTTAAACAAAATATTCGGCCTTCTGTCCCATGCTTGGCACAAAAAGTTTGCTACAAGAAAAGCTCCCAACAGTTTAAGTTTGCGATAATCATCCAACCAGCAGATTTGGAAAATGATGGACAGGCTATTGATTAGAAGATCACACAATTATAATCACCAACTGATACAGTACAAAATGATACAGAGATATGGTATGGTATTTAACCATCAGATAATGTTTTTCCCATTGGATTATCACAAGATCGATACCCTAACATACTCTATCTATTAGTCAATGGTTATCTTCCCTCCATAACATATTAGTCTAGAACTAGACTAGGAAAATTAATAAAAAGTTCACAAAAAAGAAAAATAATAATCATCCAGCCACAAGAAATCATCATGAATGGAGGCCATTTTACTAAATGTACTACTAAGTGATTTTAATCCTGTCTGGAGTTTATATGTCTGTGATGTTTAGCCCCTGACCCGGGAAATAATAACAACCCCATTTACCTAATGTCTTCCAGTAATGTTAGTACAGTCTGGAGAGACCTTTTATACACAGTGCTGCATTTACTGGCACTCAGTGTAATCAGCTCAGCACACTGTGACAACTAAAGAAGTAAAAAAGGAAGGATTTTATCTCCACAAACAAACAAATGTTTACTTAACTTTTTTAACTTTACCTAATTTTGTATGTTTAATGTGTTTACTGGATATATTGATTAATCAATTGATTAATGATAATATGAGATATATCACAAACATTCATAAAGACATGAAAGGACTTAACATATAGTGTCTCAGCCTGAAGCGACAATACAATATTGTACTGTTCCTCTGAGACACACACACACACACACACACACACACACACACACACACACACACACACACACACACACACACACACACTGTCTCTTTGCAACAGTCCCAGATGAGTCATTCACTGATGTCCAGGTAGCAGTCGTTGATTAGATTTCTCACACTCATTAATCTTTAAATGGACCTGTCATCTGTCTCACTTCAGCTCTCTAATGAGACCATGAGGACCTTTGTGTACGTGTATGTGTGTGTGCGCACGCATATGTGTGTGATGGTCACAAGGGAAGCAGAGGTTTTTTATTTAGAATTTCTTTTTTTCAAAGAAGCTTTCTGTTCTCTGTAAGGTCAAATCAGCAGAACACACGTACACACACACTCAGACACACTCACACACACACTCTGTGCGAATCATCTCATTTGTGTGAAATGAAATGATTGGTTGGCCTAATTACTGTATTACTACATTAAAGTTTGTCCACACTGTTTAAAGGGGTAAGCAAAATAACCGAAACGTTTCTCGGTATAACACGATTCAGTTCAACAGCAACACAAACTGCAACCTCTGAAATGACTCAATAATATCACAATATCACACAATATCACTTTATTACACTATCACAATATCACTGTCACTTTATTACAGTATCACAATATCACTTTATTACAGTATCACAGTATCACTGTCACTTTATTATAGTATCACAGTATCACAGTGTCACTTTATTACAGTATCACAATATCACTTTATTATAGTATCACAGTATTCTGATTGTCTCGTCTTAATATTATTTACTCCAGTCGCACAGACACACACACACACACACACACACACACACACACACACACAACACACACACACTGTTGCTCACATTAGCAAACAACTTCCCATATTCCTTTTTTATGTCTTTTCCTCTCTCTCTCTCTCTCTCTCTCTCTCTCTGTCTCTCTCTTTCTCACATACACACACATTATTGCTCCACTGTCAGACAGGTTGGCGGTTGTGAGGCTGTTTCTATGGCGCCACAACGTTCCCACAGTGACAAGTGTAGTGCACCTGACTGGAGCTACCACTACCACACACACACACACACACACACACACACACACACACACGCACACACACGCACGTGCACACACGAGGGCGCACACACACACACACACACACACACACACACACACACACACAAACACTGCTGCTGCTTTGTATGAGGCTGATCTATCATGGTAAACATACTGTTTTAGTTGGATCTCTCTCTCTCTCTCTCTCTCTCTCTCTGTTGTTATCCGTCTTTTCCTCTCATTAGACTGACAGCGAAGTGGGACTCAAACATCTCACAGCTCAGTTACACTTTAACATTTTATTTATTTACTGACTGGTGACCGCCTGTTGTTTCAGTTTGAATACATTAATTATGTGTTTAGATAAGAATATATATTTTATATCAATCAATCAATTAATGAATTCAATTTGTCCACATCACTGCACCATACCAACACCATACACTCAACAAAGAAACACGCCATCAACAAATCCACAAAGAAAAACAATCAAATAAATATTACATGACAGGTTACACACTCAGCGCGGCCCTTTGTGTAGAGCAGCAATAGGATATATTATATATATTTTATATATTTTAAGTCTGTTATGGTGTCATTAGAATTTTCTCTGATTTTGATTGTTTGTAACTTTTAACGTTTGTTATTCTTTCAGATATACACCCGCTCAGTGATTGAGCCCCTCCCTCCTCCTCCGACCAAAGATGCCGCGACCTCCCCCATCTCCCTGCCGACGGCCGCTGCCGCTGCTGTCACCCCCACCGCCCCTGCAGAAGGAGCTCCCAGCAGCCCTCCCAGTGCAAGCCCAGCCCCTGGACCTTCTGTGCCCCGCCCCCAGGACAAAACCAGAAAGAAGAAGATGTCGGACGAGGAAATCCTGGAGAAACTACGTAAGACTCGTTCTCAAGCTCGAATGCACACACAAACAAACAAAATGATATGACAAGCTGACCTCGTACCTTCCAAACACTCCCGGTTATATTTATATAGATATTCTTTGTGTTGTTCAAATATAATTTATATTATATACAAATATAATTATACATATTTATATCACATCAGTGATTGCTGTAGTAATTTCCCCTTCAAAAGAAATATTACCATTAGATTGGATTATATACACACACTGGCTGAACAAAGGCACAGTATATGGCCAAAAGTGTGTGGACAAGGGGATAAATAATGCTCTAAATGTAGGTTAGATTTGGTGATGGAAAAACTGGCGTAGGTTTTTCAAACGGATCCCTTGACCTCTGACCACAAGATATCTGAATGAAAATGGATTCACGAGTCTCTCCTTTGCACACATGCCCACTTTATGGTAATCACATGCAGTTTTGAGAACAAACCATGCAGTTTTATGCATGTGGTATAAATGTGTTGTTTTTGCCTAGTGTATTTGAATATTTCTGCATTCTGGGGTCCATAAACACAATTAGAATTGCATATTTTGGGGATGACAGGAAAACTGAGACACATACTTAATGCCACCTCTGAATAAGTACTACTTCAATCAATATGCAAATATGAATGTAGTTCTACTACCAGCAAGCTACTGCAAAAGGTAGTTAAACTACTAGTTTAATTACTTGTAGTTCACTACTGCCCAGCACTCAGACTGAAGACAGTTAATGTCCAGGTTGCTCCACTGATTAACTTAAAAACCTTTATGAGGACCTGGAAGATTAAAACCAATGAGCTGTGACCAGTCAGGAATCCATCAGGGTCCTGATCAAGGCAATGCTATTGACCTTAACACACAACTATAACTGCACAGGCCTAATATTTATATATTCTTTTGTATAATATCAACATAGGTATCGTATTAGACGTGATTTGTAATCATTTTGTCTATAAATAGTCAGTTATCTCATGTCTGCACTCTGTAAAGTGATAATTCTGATGCTGTTTCTACCTGCTGAAGTTCAGTGAGGACAGAGTCTCCGAGAGCTAATTTTAGTCTCCTTTACACTCTTTATTTTAGACAGGCTGTTTCATCACATTCACACACACACACACACACACACATACACACATACACGCAGGGTTTGGTTTATTTTAGGCTCAGTGTAGGTTGGAGGTATTTTCTTTTTTACAGTATTACAGTACAACTCAGAAAACACAGTTCATTAAGACAATACTAAATCTAAAATTATAATAACCCATATATTATCCAATTTTAATTATCCTTTATTTTTAGCAGGGAGCGCCCACTGACAGCTCAAAAAAGAGGATACAATCTTTACACAATTATACACATTTACATATACATTTATGTCTATATACACATATACATACCTCTACCCGTATACGTATATTCTCTGCTAGCTCAATCCCTCGTTCTTTAAAAATGTCTTTGTTCATATTTGGCAGATATTTTACTAATTACATAATCTGCCTACATAGCACTGTGCTAGTTATAATTTAGGCCTCCATATCATGATGAAACACTGAGGTAAAAAGTGTGTGTGCCAGCGATTGTGAGGCGAGGCTGTTACATAACGTTATCACTTCTAACAAAAGAAACTGCCTGCAGCGTCTCACAGTGTTCAAATGATCCTGTTAAAAACTTATTGAAGTGTTCGGTCTCTATTCTCATTGTCACATTTCCAACATGGCGGCCTGACTGTGCTGTCCTGACACTCAGTGACAGAGCTGTGTTGACTTACTCTGTCACAGATAACACATGCTAACAGGAGATTGTTTATAAGATATAACTGTAGCAGCTAACATGAACCTGATATCATTATTTAACAGAAGCTTCACACCCCGACGCCTCGTCTCTGAAAGTCTTTCTTTTTGCCTTTTTAGGTAAAAAATCCTTGTTTTAAATCAGAATGATGTAAAAACATGTATCTCTATGTGAAGTTGGACCGGTGTGTAATTATCCGTATCAGCATACCGAAGAACTAGTTGACTTCAATCAATTTGGAACAGGCCTCTATATGGGACAGGCCTTTAATTGCTTTTGCACTAAACCCTTACTCAGAAAAGATGGGCAATATTATCAAATTGTTTATTTAAACTAGTTATGAATATTAGTTGTATAAATATTAGGCTATCAAATAACATATCAATTACGAAACTTTAATGATTTATAATATTGTATATTACCTCATTATTATCAGGTTATTACCCCATTAACATCACCATATTACTGCTTTTATTCCAACTATGGCACTGATATAACAATTGTATTGTTACCTAAATATTACTACACTATAACTACATAGTTTTAGTTTTTACCCTGTTACATAAACTTTTTTCTAATATTACCCAGATGTACTGTTAATACCAAGTTATTACCTGGCAATTACTTTGGTAATTACATGGGTTATTATTTATTTATAACCTCTGTATTATCAACTCATTATTCCACTTCCATGTTAATACCAAGCTTTAATGTAGTGCTACCCCTTTTTTCACTAGCAAAAAATAATTATTAGAGAGAAATCAGAAAGTAATTAACATAAACAAGTCATCTTGTGACCTCTCAGATCTATGGAGGACAAAAAATGACACAAGTATTGATAAATAAATGCAGAAATAAATGATAAATACATAATTTATTTATTTTTTTTTATTTATGTATATATTTATTTCTGCATTTATTTATTTTTACTTATTGTCCTTCATACAGCTCTATATATATCGTTCTAAACAAGTGCCAACACCTGTACTTTAAAGTCAAATGAAGTCACCTTTAACTCCCTATAATTAAAGGGTGACATTGTACTTTTTAAACTCTGGGTCCAGCCCTCAGAATATTATATAATATTAATAAACTTCCTCCCCGTATTGAAATGTGTTTTTGTGTTTGTAACTCGTAAATAAAAGCCTGTATATTTTTTAAACCATGCCCCACGCCTGTCCAGATGTGCTCAGATCTCCCTCTGCTGGTAAGACCAGGATACTGCCTGTCTGTCTGTCTGTCTCTCTGATTGACAGACCCGATATCCACTGTCCCCGCCCCCACTGTCCAATCCTCACGTCTGATTGGTCGTCCTCTCTTTCCATCAGTCTCCTGCGGTGACGGAGTGACTCCAGTTTTGTCCTCTAATCACTTTCCTCCTGTGGACTCTGATTACTGCAGACAGAGCTGCTCCTTTCTTTCATTCTTTCTTTCTTTCTTTCTTTCTTTCTTTCTTTCTTTCTTCCTGTCTCTTTTTTCATGTCTTTCTTTTCCCTTTTTCCTTTCTTCATCCTTCATTTCTTTCTTCCTCTTCCTCTTCCTCTTCCTCTTCCTTTCCTTTCTTTCTTCCTTCATGACATTATTTTCTTCCTTTCTTTCTCTTTCTTTCTTTCTTTCTTTCTTTCCTCCTTCCTTGTTGTCTGTTTTTTTTTTTTTGGCCTTTCTGTCTTTCTTGATTCTGATTCTTTCCTTCCTTGTCTCATTCTTTCTTTCCTTTTTTCTTTAGTGGTTCCTTCCCTCCATCATTTCTTTCTTTCCTTCTGTTCAGTCTTCTGCTCCCGGCTGTCTGACAGTTTTTTTCCTCTTCATCACCTTTTCCTTCCTGAATTGACTGTTTTTAAACTTTTCTTAAACTTCATTTATTTTTTTCTCACCTGTTTAGTTTTTTTTTGTCTCATCCCTCGTTCCTTCCCTCCATCTTCTTTACTCTCTGCTCTCTCTCCCAGTCAGCATGCTGCATTGACCTGAGTGTGATGAACATAGAGCAGAATTTAGATGGATAGAAAGACACCTGACTGTTCTATCCATTCAAATTCAGTGGTTCTGTAAAATCAACGTATAAATATCGGCTGTGGGTCATAGGTCCGGAGTTTCTTTATCCACATATGTTGCTCTTTGCTTTTTGATCAGTCAATAAGTTGGGTTTTTGCTTCTTTTTGTCTTTCTTTAACTCAGGGACGATTGTAAGTGTGGGAGACCCCAAGAAGAAATACACACGCTTTGAGAAGATCGGGCAGGGGTAAGTTATAGTGTGTCACACTTGTTACCTCAAGTGACCTTTAACAAAAGACGTTTTCCACCAACAAAGGAGTGGTGACATAATGTTTAACTGGTCTCTGCTGTCTGTTTTCAGAGCGTCTGGGACTGTGTACACAGCTATAGACATCGCCACAGGACAGGAGGTTGGGTTCCTTTATCATCCTCCATATTTTTTATTCTCCCTCCTACATTCCTCTGTTCTCTCATTCCTCCTTCAGTTTACAGATACCCACACCCCTTGGTTAAATTTTTTCAATTCAGTAACCATGTATGTTAGATTGTAATGTCCATGAAATCATGGAATTATATTTAGTGTATATTTAATTTAATGTATTTTCTTAGTTTTGACATCGGTATTATATATTGGCCACCAGTCACTCTGCTCTGTAAATATCATCAACAACCATTGAAAAACCCACATCAATTGACCACTATTACATACATACATACATACATACATACATACATACATACATACACATAGTGTTTGTAAGGTCTCAAATTTAAAGATTGCACCTTCAACTCTTCAGCATTAATCTGTTTTTACTCAAATTTAAGGATTTGGCGATTGACTGGATACAGTAACCACATTAAACCTCTTACACAGAGAGAATCTGAAATGTTGAGGAGGAATCAAATTAAGCATCTGGAAGTAAAGAGGAAGAATAGAGATGGTCAGTGTACTTTGCAGCAAACAAATTTTCATTTTGAAATGAGAAAACCAAAATTACAAAAGGAGTCGTTTTTCATTTTTGGTTTAGAAAATAAAAATAAAAAAAAATTAAAAAAAGCTGACATTAAAATCAATTACCTCAGACAGATGAGTTTAAAGGACAAATTTAAGGAGAAATAAAGTTCAAACAGGAAGTTAAAGGAAGCGTAGGTTCATCTAGGCTGTCAGCCTTTAATCAAATAAAATGAAGCGAGGAAGAGGAGCACAGAGGTTTGAGGGAAGAGAACAGTGAGTTCAGCTGGAGTTTCCACACTGAAAACACTGTGGCAGTAACTGGATTTAAGTCTGGCTTCAATAGCTGTGACTTCCAGGTTCATTTTAAAGGAGCTCAGCTGGTCTGTCATGCTAATCCTCCTCAGTTTCACTCTCTGAGGATTAGTCGTTTTTAATGTCTGTCAGGCTGCGCTGCCTAACAACCTTTTACTGCCTTTTAGATTTCGATATTACCCCTCCCCACCGCCTTTCCTGTCAGTCTCTCTGTCGTCTGTCTTCACTTTCTTACCGTTTTCCTTTTCATCCTCTTGTCTTCTTTTATTGCCTGTCACATTGTCTATCTGTCTTTCTTTTTATTGCACTCCTCCCAACAACCTCTCTGCTCTCAGTTGTATGTTAAATTCAGTGTCTTAACTCCAGTGAAAAGTTAAATATTGCTCTCTCCCCTCAGGTTGCCATTAAACAGATGAACCTGCAGCAGCAGCCGAAGAAGGAGCTGATCATCAATGAGATTCTGGTGATGAGGGAAAATAAGAACCCAAACATAGTCAACTACCTGGACAGGTTAGATGCACACATCACTTCACAGTGTCTCCTTTATATTCTTTCACTTTTTGTCGACCACCGTAGAAAGTGAATTACCATGGCCGTGAGAGTAAATGTGATGTGCTGGTGAGAAAGTGGAACCCTGTTTCCCAAATGTACTGTAACATACAGCTGCTTTCTTGGAGTCGCTGTCAGTGTGAGGCTGCAGCTTTAACAGTTGGAGGATTATATTTAGTTTTGGCTGAGATCCTTTTGTTAATGTTCTGGCAAAAACAAACCGAATGCAGGACAAACACAATCTGCTGTAAAATGAACTTCCCACACTGTAGAGACACCTCTGAGCTGTGAACTGTGTGGACTGAACCATGACCAGAGGCTGTCCAGTTTAGTGTTGCTGTTGCCATGCCAACCCACTGGACATGGGGCGAGGAGGGGTGTGTCTGGTTGCCATAGTTACCAGTTTGTCTTTAGAGACATCAAGGAGCACATAGAAGACTGTAATGCTGTCATCGCCACGGAAACAACATTTTCACTGTCACTGATTTACTGTGTGTGTGTGTGTGTGTGTGTGTGTGTGTGTGTGTGTGTGTGTGTGTGTGTGTGTGTAAATCTCCCATTCACACACAATTACTTTTTCTGTTTATCTTTATTTATTTGTTTCATGTGTTGTTCATTAGTTCAGAGTTAAATGGGAATTAAATGTCAGCTGGTACATGAAAACACTAAAACAGCCAGAAAGGTTTTTTACCAAAGGTACCTTCACTCAGAGCTTTGATCGGCCCCAAAATGTCATATAAATATAAATTCCTGAATTTGTTGATGTTTTCCATAGTTACCTGGTGGGTGACGAGCTGTGGGTGGTGATGGAGTACCTGGCTGGAGGTTCGTTGACCGACGTCGTCACGGAAACATGCATGGATGAAGCTCAGATAGCTGCGGTGTGCAGAGAGGTAAAGAGACATGAAATATCGCCTCTCTTTTAATGAATTCATAAAACTCCCCTCTGGAGGAACATTCACTAACTGTGTTTCGTACCTAATGCAATAACTTTGCTCAATTTGTAAACAGACACTGGAACAATGTCCGTTATTGTTGTCTGTTCTGTTCCTGTGTTATTGTTATTATTGTGATATACAGTGTGTTTTAACCAACCTGTGAAACCAAAGGCAGATTTCCACATTTGTAGACAATAAAGATTATTGTGATAAGTAAAGGAGCTGGTGGTATGTAGGTGGAGAGTGTGGAGTTCGTAAACAGCTGTGTGTTGCTCATGTGGTTGATCTGTCTGGACTCCACTTGAATAATGCGGCAGCTCTGGCTTCTCATCATGGAGTCACATGCTCCGTAACTGGAAACAACACAACAGCAATCCTTGTTAACTGCTTATTGACTTTCTAACACTGATACTTGTCCCAGATTCTCAAGCTGTGATATTTAGAGTATGTTAATAGAAGGGATTTAACAGTTTTAACAGAATGATTAATGATGGGGAGACTGGTCTCATAAGGATCTGTATTGTTCTGCTGAATATGATGAGCTGATCTTTGGACCAGAGTTAAGACAAGTATCTTGTGTTTCTGTTTTTCCACCTGTGTTGTCTCTGTCTGTCTCTCTGTCTCTGTCTGTCTGTCTGTCTGTCTCCAGTGTCTGCAGGCGTTGGAGTTCCTCCATTCGAACCAGGTCATCCATCGAGACATCAAGAGTGACAACATCCTGCTGGGCATGGACGGCTCCGTCAAACTCAGTCAGTTGTTGACATTGTGTCCTTTCACTCATTCATTCATTCATTCAATCATTCATTACATGTATTTATTACTACTTTATTTACATTGCTGTAGGGCTGCTCCCTGTGTAGTCGGTTGTATTTGGTAGTACTTATTTTAACCAGCAGGGGGAGCTCTGATTCTATTGTTAAAGTATTGAAGTTCAGTCTATGGAACCACTGTGATGACAGAGTGAACATAGATTCAAACATTAAACAGGTTGCTTGATATAGGTGTTCATCTAAAGAAAGAATTAGTGAATACATGGACTCATTCTGTCCTCTCCTCTCCTCCTGCCAGCTGACTTTGGGTTCTGCGCCCAGATCACCCCGGAGCAGAGTAAACGCAGCACCATGGTCGGGACGCCGTACTGGATGGCTCCAGAGGTCGTGACCCGTAAAGCCTACGGCCCCAAAGTGGACATCTGGTCCCTGGGCATCATGGCCATAGAGATGGTGGAGGGGGAGCCACCATACCTGAATGAAAACCCACTCAGGGTGAGAGTGCTGAGTGTGTTTACTGTAGGCTGAACCAAAATATGAGCAGCTTGATGCGCACAGCAAGACATTATTATTGTTTTCTGAATATTGTAAAAACATTATTAGCCCCAATTAGCAGAGAGTTAACACCATAACGTCACTACAGGAAACCTCCAACCCAAATCAAAAGTAAAATAACTAGAACATAACAGAAGGCTTTGGTTTTCCATTCTGTAATTTCTTTATAAACATCAAGTCTCAGTCAGCTCAGCAAAACAAAGGGGCGAGGATACAGCGACGGAGGGCGCACATAAAACTCACTTTTACAAGAGAAAAACTTTCAAGGATCAGGACTCTCTGTACCCTGGACTTTCAAACAGGACTAATCTGAACCTGTTTTATCTTTAAAAAAATCTTTTTACCACAAACAGGTGTTGGAAAACGGGGAGTCAACTTATAACCAGGGTTGTGTTATACATGGGTCAGCACTGGTACATATTATCAATAAATCAATCTATAAATTAAACTTTATTTATATAGCACCGGTCAAACAGATCAAATGTAATTCAAAGTGCTTTACAAAGGATCCACAGAACATCAGATGTTAAGTGTAATGCACACCCAAAAAAAACAAAAATTATGATAATATCGAAGACATAACATAAAAGATGGGTAGTAAATAATAGTTAGTGAGAGAGTAAAAGAGAATAATAGAGAAGCAAGCAATAAAAATTAAGATAAAATTATGAAAAAGTACACAAAATCAATTGATTGAATGATCAACATTAACATGTTACTAAAACAAAAAGAATACAAATGAATAATAATGATAATAAATAAGTATAAATGATATAACCATAGCATTATAAAATCATATAGTCATATTATGGTAGCAGTGTCTCTGTAAATATCCACATTAAATTATAAGCACTGCATACAACAGCCTCAGTGTCATTATTAAAACCACCACTGGATGGCAGCAGAGTAAAAGATTTTGAAATTCCTCACAGTGTTTAGTGTGTGCATACTTCACATGTGCTTCACAGGATGCAGACTAACATGTTGCTTACATGTGTTGCCTAGGCGCTGTATCTCATAGCAACCAACGGGACGCCAGAGCTGCAGAACCCGGAGAAACTGTCGACGACGTTCAGAGACTTCCTGAACCGATGTCTGGAGATGGATGTGGAGAAGAGAGGGTCGGCTAAAGAGCTGCTGCAGGTACAGCAGCTGTGTGTGTGTGTGTGTGTGTGTGTGTGTGTGTGTGTGTGTGAGGACAGAAACTATAATTGGAACAGAATATTTCTACCGTCCCAAAAACAACAGGTTACAACAACATATGGAAACTAGCACACTTAGTCAATGTGTATACGTATAAATCTGTTGTTTTGGTACGTGCCTTTATTCATCTTATGACAGGTGTCTTAGAGCTCTTAATTATTAACAAGACATTTACCTGGTTAAATAAAGGGAATAATAATAATAACAGAAAAATTCTTAATTTCGAGTGTCTCTGATCTTGATATTAGATACAGACAGACAGACAGACAGACAGACAGACGGACAGAGAGTTGTGTAACTGTACGATGACTCAGAGCTCCAACGTGAAACCAGGACTTTCTAATGTTTCAGAAAGAGGTTGAATGGCTCCTTTTGTGTGTATGCGTGGTCGGAGAGTCCTTGTTCTCACTGTTGGCTTGTAGTACGTTTAATTCATATTTTTCTTGAATGATGAACTAAAATGATGAACTGGGGAAACTTTTGTTCAGTGAACTAAAATAGTTCTCTCTTTTCTCCACCTCTATCCCCTCCCTCCCCCTTCCCTCTCTTCCTCTCCCTTTCCTCCCGTCTCCTCTCTCAGCATCAGTTTCTAAAGATGGCGAAGCCTCTCTCCAGTCTGACTCCTCTCATTGTGGCTGCCAAGGAGGCTGCCAAGAACAACCGCTAGCTAGCTTTGCACTCATTACTTCGTATGTCTATCCCTCTCTCTCTCTCTCTCTCTCTCTCTCTCTCTCTCTCTCTCTCTCTCTCTCTCTCTCTCTCTCTCTCTGTCCTCCATCCCTCCATCCTCTATCTTCTCTTTTGTTTTGGTAGTTGGGAGGGCAGCGATGATGGCTGCTGGCGAGGTTTGAATGCCTTTAATGTGGCTCTCCCTTCTTCTTCTTCTTCTTCTTCTTCTTTTTTTTTTTTTTTACGTGCACCACCTGCTCCTTCGACACTCCACTGGACTCGGACAGGAAGACAGGGAGCTGACCGAATGACATCACTGGTCAATCCGTAATCAAGTGACGTCATCGCTGACATCACCGCCCTCCTCAGCCAGTACGAACATCCCAATATGAGAGGGAGAGAGTGTTTCAACAGAGCCCAAAGACTCATGGGAGTTTGTTTTTTTAAATCAATGTTTGTTTGTTTGTTTGTTTTCTACCTTGTCTGTAAAAGTCCCGGACCACCCTCTGCTGCAGACTGTGTTTATGTGTGTGTGTTAGCCTAGCTTCAGTCAGACTTATTTCATCATCTTCGATCTAAAAGTGCATTAGTTGATTTTCAGTTTATCAGTCCTTTAAAATCAACTGTTCTGCGTGTGTGTGTGTGTGTGTGTTGTTGGGATATTGATTAAGTTGATTCTGTTGTTTCTGACACGGAGCAGGTGAGGTTTGGTACTTTGTCGTGTCTGCAGTGTGAGCTGTGAGTTAGAGATTATTAATATTAATTATAATGAGGAGAGACGGGCGCGCCCAGAGCCATCGATGGACTGAGTTCAGACGTAAGCAGCCATTTTGGCTCACTGAGGGGTTTCTGTGAGGACCAGTTAACATTTTCTTTTTCTCTAGACGATACGGGTACCTGCAGGGCTCAAAATGAGGTCATTAAACGGCAGAGAAACTGGATCTTGATAGAGGAGAGATTGGAGAAAAGTACAGACTATAAATATCCCTCTGCACTCCGATAACATTGTCAGACTTGACAGACTGTAAAAAAAAAAAAAGAATCAAAATCCATACAGCAGAACCAGAGATATTGTGTTTTTTATTTAAGTTAATCACGGTGAACATGAAGCTGTAATTTCTTTTGGTCTGACTTGTTTTCTTCTAATTTAACATTTTCTCATTAGAGCTGTTACGCTCCACTACCTGCCTGTCATCTGACTGCAACAAAAAGTCGTTTTCTCCAAATTTTCTCCAAATAGAAGCTTTATTGTCTCATCCTTGTCTTAAAAAGACTGACGTAGGCAGTAGTAAATCAGCTCTAGCTACAAACAGCGCAGAGCAAGAAGAGACGGGACTTAGGAAGGGTCAATTGTTAGCACCAAGTTTAACAATGAAAGCTAAGAGAAAGTCTTCAGTCTCTACTGAGCAAAGTCAACATTTAAACAAAAGCATCTCTGATTTTCTACTAAATCCAAAATCAGAATCATTATCAGGATAGTCCTCAGAAATCAACTGAACTCGCTCCATCTGCGGCTCTGGGACGTCTGTGGAGTCGACACTGAGACTGTGAGGGAGAGAATGTGCATGTCAACAACCTTTTTTTACTCGGTACGTTCAAGATGAAACAGTAAGTAAGTTGTGATAATGCTGAAACATAAAGTGACGATACATGAAGGATGCTTGTGTACGATAGGAAAGATCATATCTTAATCCTATTTTCAGAAGAATAAATGCTGCGATGGTACAATGTTGTTTTTTTTCTCCTGCTGGTGGACTGTTGGATCCCCAGGAACCCTCTGAACAGAAGGTGTATATTTTACGTGCAAAAAAGAAGAAAAAACTGCATTGACAAAAAAAACAATGTTTTAGCCTTTGTTTACGGACTCACAGTTTTTTATAATTGATCAATGTCAGAAAATGAATTCACCACCTGTTTTTAATTTGAGTATTTGTTTGGGAATTTTTAAAATTTTCTTCCTGTAACTGATCGGTCACAGGTTCAAATCCTGCAAGAGCCAAAGTTTCCATCAACAGCCACGGTTGTTCACTCTGCATTTGACCTGCAATGTAAATATCAACTAAACATTTCCAAAACATCTGTTGAAAACCATCACTTTGATTTCTGCTCTTCGTTGTTTTTATTGTTTCTTTTTAATGTAGTGTTACTGTACCTCTGGCCTTAAACTGTTTCAAAGGTGCAAGACTACTTTAGTACCAGTCTGATGGCAACGATACACCGGCAACATTTTGAGGCAACAATTAAAAGTTATGAACACTTCAGGGCAGGAATCACAGTTCCCCAGAGCCCGAGGTGATGTCTTTAAATGTTGTGCAACCAACACTCCATACCCAAAGATATACAGTTTATAATGATACAAAATAATAAAAGCAGAATGATTGGCATTGAAACATTGGGATGTAAACAATTAATCAATCATCAAAATACTTGCAGATTAATTTTATAATCCCTAATTGTTGCAGCACTGCAAGGGATTGCCAAATTTAGCAGTATTCGTGATCGAGCCTGTTTACACTGGCTGCAGTACGGAGGATAAAAGCTGTAAAAACTGTATCTTGTATAAACTGCCTGAAACTGTTGCCACTGTGTGTTTGTGTCCTGGTCTGAACCCCCGGCACAGAGCTGGACTTAAAGGACTATTCTGTGATTTTCCATTTGATTTTCTTTGAGATCACTCTGTGGAAGAACTGACCCTCCCTAAGCCCCGCCCCTTTTTGGCTCTGTTCTCCATCAGCTGAGCAAGCCTCAGTCAAAACCTCGGTCAACTTTCTTGTACTTTGATAATGTGCTAGGCTAATGTTGAAAAGACAACCACATTTTATAGATGGTTAAAGGATAAAAGCCACAAGTCACATCTTAACTCAGTTAATGTTAGTAAAACGCTAGCTAACTAGATCCATTATATGTACTGTCGATACTGAAGAAGGCTTGCTCAACTGTTTGGAGAACAGAGAAAAAAGTGGCGGGACTCAGGAAGTGCCAGTTGTCTGAGGTTTGTCAATAAACACTAATCAAGAGAGAAAGTAACACTGAGCAATCTGAGCGTATTCTCACATGTTTCAATGAAAAACCACAAGAATGCTACTTTAAAAGATCCTTTAATGTCTGGTAATGTGTTTACCAGTTACTGTCATATTAATCTGACAGTGAAAATGTTGTATGCTGATGTGATGGATCAGAACAAACAGTATTTATGATTAATTATCTAGTTTGTTTAACCTAATGAGACGAGTTTTACAATGTTATGTTGGATACATTTGTTAATTAAGGAGCTACTTAGTCATCTCTTATTTCAAGTAGTCTGAACTCTATGAAAACAGCATAGAAGAATTATATAACATAAGATAGATTAATTTAATTAATTTTGAATGCTATCTACATTCACTTCCTCATTTAATCCATTTGCTTCAGTTGTGTTCAGTGTATAAATCCAGTAGTTTTTTCTTTGTAACAGCTTGTTTACAATGCCCACTCTACTACCCACTCTTCAGGGCAGAGGCAGATTCATGATTAGCAGTCACCTAATGACGGGCCATCACATACCCAATACTCTTAGTGCGGATAAAACCACACTTTTAGAGCTTGTTTAGTTCAGCCGACATACACCAGACAGCAGGGGCATTTCATTAAACATAATGTGAAAGCTACTGCAGTTTACAAAAGACTGGATTCTGAATTTCCTTCCGTGCGTGGGTCCATAAACATCAAGTTTCCATAACCTTTAGTTCATATGAAAGTTCGGCTACAAACAACACAGCTGAGTACGAGGTTGCTCTATGTAGGAGGGTTGTCTGTGCTCAGGGGCCCCTGATCCGTCCATGATCCTTTGTCACCTTATTTTTAAACCTCCCAATAGAAAGTACAGTTCTCTAAATAAAATCACAAGGAAAATCTGATGACCATCACATCCAGCCTTGATAATTCAACAAACAGCCTGCTGCTGACTTATACAAACACTGCTGGATCTTAGAACAAGTTGAATACTATGAGTTACTAACAAAAACATTTTACTGTATAAAGTGACCATCAACAAGCAGGACACAGTTCTCTTTGCAGCTTCACGGGGGATTCAGACTTAGCCCAAGGTCTAAAAGGGGACTTGGTTCAGTCCAGAATGAGAGGGTCAATGTAGTCTTCACTCCCCAGTGTATCAGAGCCATAATTTATCTGTTTATAAGTCATTTTGATTATTTGAGAAAAATAAAAAGAATAAAACTGTTCAAAAACTGAACATCTGTTCTGTTTTTCTTTTTGTTTTTAAACTGTACCTACTGTAGGTTGAGTCTGTTCAATATAAATGTTAATTAAAGGACCAGTGTGTAGGATTTAGTAGCATCTAGTGATGAAGTTTCAAAATTGCAACTAACTGAACATTGCTAGTGTCTGTATTTGACGACCTGGGAATGAGAACGGGCTGTGAAGCAGGGAGAAACTATTGTGGCTGTGAAACTTGTGAAAAACGTGAAAGGCCCTATCAACAGTGTTTGGTGCGTCCATTCTCAGCTACTGTAGAAACATGGCGGTTCAACATGGCAGCCTCCACAGAAGGCAACCTGCAGTAACCTGCAATGAAAACACAATGATTCTTATTTTCAGGTGATTATATGCTAATGAAAACATAGCTAATATTATATAATAGATCCCCCTAAATGTTACACACTGGACCTTTAAATTATGCTAAAACTCAGGAGAATGATTCATTTTCATTCAGAAGGAAGATATGTTGCATGCAAAATTTCAGACTGCCCTCTGTGATTGTATCCAGATATTGTAAGTCTAATATGGACCAGCTACGGCTTTGAATGTTGAGATATTAATGTGACTGTTTCATCACAGTGAAACTTTTCATAAACGTGTCCTCTTCTAAAGACCATAGCGTTGTTAGCTGAGTACACTGAAGGACCACTGTTGAATAATAATACTGAGATTTATTTTCTATAACATGATTTCCTAATTATTTCTAAAAACTCTAAAGCCTCTCTGTGAGTCAATTATGTAATCTACTGTTCTTTGCTGGAGTCTGGAGCAGAAAAGAGCTTAAATCCGTCTGGCTGTGACGGCCGCCCGCAGCCTTCCTCCCGCCATCCGTCTAGCTGTGAAATTAGATCCCACCTACTTTTTTTTATTTATTTCTCCTTCTAATTAAAAGTGGTAATTACTGATTGCTTGCTTCCTAAGATCCCCTTTCATCTGCAGGCTAACAGGGAATGAGTTTGTGGTGGATGCAAGGCCGCACTGCAGCGTGTGAATCAGTGCTCAA